TCAATGATTACATTTAAAAAATTACCATAATTTAGTTTTTATCGAGAAAACTTCTATTTTTAGTTTTACTCAAATTTATATATTTTATAAAATCCTTTTGTTAGTGAGTTATATATGGGTTTTGAGAAACAGTTATAAATTGTATTAACTAACTCATTCCCTGTCGTGAGTATAAAAGCAGAGTAATTAAATTCTTGTTGCTGAATATTGCTTGCGTTCAAATAAATTATTGCTCGCATAAATTCGAATTCATTATGTGTGTGGGTTTCATTTTAATTTACTTTGTATGATAATCCTAAAAAAGAAACGTCATTTATTGAAGAAGGTGGATGAGCAAAAAAAAATAAAACCCCTAGCTCCTGAAACTGCATAAATGAAAGCTGGTCAACGCGTCACGCTTAATGGATAAATGTTTAAAATTTAAATCTAAAATACGTGTTCCAATAAATCTTGTTGCGATAATGTTTAGTAAGGTTATATAGAAACATGAAATGTATTATTAAATGTATTCAGCTTGAGTATTGTAAGTTTTACGGATTTTTAAGCTTTATGACTACTTTTAAATATGTTCTGAAATTGCATGCCGTGTATATTATTCCATTTGTCATTTTGGTTATGATTCAAGAGCGGGTTATTTGTAACAACATCGCGTTATATGGAAAATTTTACCTACGCGTTACAGTACTAAATCGTTAAGTTAATTCATAATATGAATATAATTAAAAGTTGTATTATTTTATGGATCATCAATGATATTAGTAATATTGAAAGCGCAATTTTTCGTGTATAACAACCTTCGACTATAAAGTTTCTTATATCGCTGTTATCTATTTTGTTTATCATTAAAAATGGAAGGAAATCAATAATACGCACTGTTTGACAACTCTCTTTGTGCCTTTACTTGAAATAAATGTTAAGTTACTTCAATGATTAACAAAATTATTTTAGAAAATTAACTTGAAATTTTCGCATGATGTTATTACGTTTGAAGGCATAATAAACAATCAAGGTGGGCTGGAATTTTTTAATACTTAAAATTAATTAATGTTAAGCTTTTAAAGTTACTCTAAATATCGACTGTTACTTATGAGTCTAATGCAAAACCTAAAAATGCCTTTTCTAGGGCAGCAGTCTTTTAGAAAAATTTCTATTCAAATATAGAATCACTACAAGTTATCGATGGAAAGCAATGGCTGGATGCTATCTCCCTTCATATTAAACATATCTTTATACTTCCTAAGGATTAAAATCTTTTTATTGCGTCTTGCATTTTGTTTCTGTTTGAATAATATCAACGGATCTTCAGTCGTAGGATTTGAAATGATAATATCACAAAAATTAGAACCTTTCGATGATATATAAACGCCAGAGCGATTGCAGTATGGCTTCAGATTTAGCCTGAAGTTTTCATGTTGAAGTGTTGCTGACGTTAATAGCTTAGTATTTTTATTACTCTTATATTTCCTAAGTTCTATATTGCTTTTGCTCTCACTAGTCTGATTCATAATCGAATGCTCGTACAACTGAGCTTTTTTCAAAATTTCATTCTTCATGTTCCAATCTTTTAGGTACAGTTGAAACACTGTTTTATGAAGATTGTTTCTTTTAATAATATGCCATCTAAAGAAGACGAAAATATAAGTCAAAATTTTATCTTTGTCTTTAATAGATATATTCACCTTAGTATAAGTTGATGCATTCTTTCTCGATGTCCCATATTTCTTAATATTCTCATTGTACCCACAATAAATGATGCTTGAAAGGACTCATCTTGAAAAATTCCTAATTTATAATGTTTCATTGCTTCAATGTATAATCCTGAAATATACCATAATTTTTCATAAGCAAAGGATTCAAGATTTAAGAATAATGTATATTTACTGTTTGCGTAAAGCCAGTCTGCATATTCTAATCTAACGATTGTACTTTTTTTATTTAATTCTAATGCCTTTCGAAGCAAAATTCCTGACGAAATTCCTGTTTGAATTTTTGACAAACCCAAATATGCGGGAATAAAATTTTTATCAATACGGATGCATTTCTCAAACATTCTGACAGCGATGAGCGTTTTGTTGGTTTTCCTTAAAACAAAATGAAGAAATTATAAATTAATAAATACCGTAGCTATTATTAGGTATTAGTTCTCTTACCTATAGAGTTGACCTAAATTAAAATGAGCATTTATGTGTTGATGAGAGAACTTTATTGCTGAAAGAAAATGCTGCTCCTGAGTTCCTATATCATCGTCAATCAATGTTCCCAAATTATTCCAAGCGCTAGCATATGATGGCCAAAGCTGAAGAGCTTTTTTGTAGTGCATTTTTGCTTGATTTAAATTCAATGTATCTCGTAAAAAATTTGCGTAATTATAATGTAGCTTAGCATTATTAGGAAGGACTTTCAATCCTGATCTAATTATTTGAAAAGATAAATAAAAAAAACAATAATGTTCATGAATATGTTTTTTAAAAACGCGAACGTAAATATATATTACCTAAGTAAGCTTTCTCTTGTAAGCCAATCCTGATTTCTAGTTAAGGTTTTCATACAAAATACTATAACTAATATGCATCCTGAAACTTTTATTATTCGTCTTAATTTTTTCATGTTCTCATATAGTAGTTGAACACCATAAATTACTAATATGCAAAACCCCATACTGTTGTGAGACAAAATAAAATAATAATCAAAGATTATAATCAGTTTTTAAATGAGATTTTATAGATAAACCGTTTTTTCATAAGATTTTTACCTAGGGATGAACAATATACGTTCAGCAATGACAAACCCAACGGTAACCAATAGATTTGAAGCTGGTAGTATGAACGGCAATACCAATAAGATAAATCCTAATACTATCGGAGGGTGACGTCGAAGCTGATTACGTAATAAAAAAATTAAATTACTGTTATTATAAAAACATTTTCCAATTATTTCTATTTCGAAAATAAATTTACCTCTAATTCGCACAAAATTTTATAAATCAATCCAAAAATTGCGCTGATAGTTACAATTGTCAATAAGTTTCTAGAGTCTCTAAAGCTTAAAATGAGAGGAATTGATCCCATCTGCCAGTCATGAGAAAGTGTTGATGGACATATCAAAAGCCACAAATTGAACGAAGAGAGATAGAAAAATGTTAAAATTCTCGTTTGAAGGCTAGAATGAAACGCTGCTGGATTATCTTGCTGTGAAAATCTTGGCAATGAGCCTTGTAGTAAAGATATCCTAGCCAGTAAAAGTATAGTCATACTAACTGACACACTAAAAGTTCGCTTGGCAAATCTGTAGCTTTCATTGCTCCATCGAACATCTTGGACAGTTTTCTTCAACGTTGACCAATTGCGATAAAAGTCATAAATAAGGTTAACGATAAAAACGGTTAAACCACTTTCTTTGGCTAACATAGCCAATCCTCCAAGAATTATGCTGAGCCAAAGAGATTGGCCATCTGGGTCACTAAAACGGTGGCTGTAAATAAATCAATTAATTCTTTATTGAGTGTCAAAAACAGAGTAAGAGATTTGTTAACTTTCGGATTGTAATTGAATTTTTTTTTCTGAGATATACTATCCAAATTTTTAGAATCTTAATGGTTAGATTGAAAATATTATTTATACTTGCCCATGATAAAATAAGAATGAGAGCGAAAAGAATGTGCAGCCTAATAGTTCAGCTCGTCCTACGATACCTGAGACAGACTCTGTATGAATTGGATGCACAGCGAAAAAAATTCCTGCGATTAGCGAAAAGTTTGACTTGAATCTGGCAACTCGCGAGCATATTCGTGTGAAAAGAATAGATGAAAGGCCATGAAGAAATACATTTACGACGTGAAACCAAAATGCACTATCAATGCCGAAGAAATATTTGTTAAGTCTGAAATTAAGTTTTTGGCCAGAAAAAGTTAAAGAAAATAGATAAAACGTTTTCACTTTTAAAGTTCATACCTGAATGTTAGTGTTGTTAATGGTCGGTATGATTTATGCGATTCTTTTAATTTCATGCGCACTCCCCAGAAATCATTAACCATCAAGTCTGCTATGCTTGCTGTACCTAGTACATCATTATTATATACAATGGCGGGCAAATCGTCATGAACAAAGTCTCCTGACAATGAGTTAACATAACACAAGATAGCGACAACACTAACAATAAAATATTTTCGCATATTTCTTTGACGCTTAAGCATGATGGTATCTGATGGTATGGTGTGATAGAAGTTGTTTGGCTTTTTAAACTTCATCAAACTTAGTCCCTTTTATTATCTTCTCACTTTACTTACACAAATATTTAAAACTGCTACTCACTTAATGCTCCCCACTCTTTTACCGTTTACATTAGATAACTTTCTTATTCTTTCAATATTTTTAATTATTCTTCATCCTTCCCATTACTATTTGATTTCTGGAATTATTTTTATTTAAACTCTACATTATGATATATCTTTATTAAAAAAATAAATACATAATGTTTGTTATCATTTCGAATTCCCTCAAATAAAACAAGCTAACGAAATAAGTTTTCATGGATTTCTCAAAATATCAATTTATTATACATATTAATAATATTAATTATAGAAAGCATTGCACGTATGTATATCAGAAACATTCAAACACACAATGTCAGAGATGAGGAAAAAATATTTTTGGAGTGTTCAAACAGAGTTAACATAATAATATTTTCCCTTTTTAATCTCTGATGGAAACTCATTCCTGGCAAGCTACCTAGGTTCATTATTTTCATTCATTAGTACCTTTTTGATCTTTACTATGAAAACTGGACCAGGAAGCTTTAAAGTTTTTTTCACATACACTACTTATCAAGAAATTTTGTATTGCATTTTATTTCAATCAAGGAAAAAGAACGGAAAAGAAAGGAAACGATTTTTAATGTTCACTTGTTTACAAATACAAAAGCAAAATTTTTATGGAAGGAGTTTTTGTTTCTCTTCCCTGTGTTTTTCTTTTGTTGCTATCCTTTAAAAATTGCCTTTTGATTTGAATATCGATTTCCTCCTATGTTTTATTACTTTTTCTAGTAAAAATGCTATTAAAAGTAAACATAAACATTTCTTGAATATTCTTGCTGAAAGCATAGAATACATAAAGTATCCATTTCGCCCAAATTCTATGTACATATCATTGTTTCATTAATATTGTTTTCAAACACTTTCTTAAAAGAAGTCATTTATTATTTAAGCATTTCTTTTCGATAAAGCAATTACGAAACAAATTTTCCTTTTTCTATTTTTACCGTAAATGGTGCCTTCTGACAGATATTATAACATCACATCTCATTTTATGTTTCACAAAATTTAAGAAACTTTCAGGAACAACAGTTTATTTATTAATTTGTTAACATTTTTTTGTTTAAACATGACTTCCGCAATCCTTGCGTTTAGAAATGTTTTAAGAAGAGGACTGAGGAAATAATGAAAAAAATATCCGCTTTCCTTTGATATTGTGAGTATGCGCTTTAGCGAAATCACAGAAACAACACAAGCTGTGCTTCAAACATTAATAAATATTTTCCAAAATATCTAACTACATTTTTTGTCAAGTTGTCTGAAGATTTTATGAAACAATTATTCTCGATGTTTTTGATTTTTTTTTCAATTACAATTTATGTAACCACGTTATAGGATTGTAATTCTTCGACTAAATTAGGTTTTTATCTGTACAAATAAGTTTAAAATAAAATAAAAAGATCTTTGCAATGTGATATCTTATCTACAAATATTGTGATACACATCAAAGACAGCAATATATTCTTTTAGGTTTTTCGTAGTCAAATTTATCACAATTTTTTTTAATAATCTAGGTAGGTTTTTTTTAATAATGATCTACGAGTAACAAAGACCTACTTATGAAGAGAAAATTTTAACTACATTTTATACTTTGGCTTTTACTATATTTTAAAAGTTATAGAAAATTGCAACATAAACGATAAGAAATCAATATTTATAATTTATTTGGTGGATGCAACACCTAGTGAAACCCATCAAGAACATAGACATTTTTTATTACCTTTAGTTTTTTCATTTCAAAAAATTTAGAAAGCACGTGTAATGTTTTGAAAATGATTCAGAATTCGAGAAATGAAATTTTTCAGCACTCTTTATTTTACGTAGCTGATTAATTTAAAAACAAATATATTTTTATTTATTTTTTATCTTTAAGTAGAACGTAATTTGGGAAGCTGTTGAATATCATAATATAAAGG